GCAGCAGCTGCTGATGTACCAGCAGTACTGGCACTCTCTGCCCCAGTATCATACAAGAAATCAGTATCTGGAAGTAAAATCCTGTTATACGAAGTGGATTGTACAAAGATATCAAAGTCAGCAAGCTTGTCATTGTCGACCTTGAATTTTACTGTCTCTTTAGGGATGTCTAAGACAGACCTCAGCTAAAAAATAAATAGAAAATTAATCTATTTTTCAGTTTAAAGTTACTCACAATAAAAGTAAAGTTTAATTAATTATTCATGCATACATGACTGATTAAATTGAATATACAGGCTTGGCTTGAGCTATCCATTAAGTCCTATAACTGATATTTATATGGACAAGAAAAAAATGCCTGGTTGAAGGAAATTTATCCTACTTAAAATCTATCGATCWAAATTGAGTCAAAATCATAGCTTCATATGATTTAAAGCGAAAAAATATATATTCTTAAAACACTTCAATGCACGATACACCTGACTTATTGTTAGCTATGAGCGGAAATGTTCAAGTTAGCATCAGAAGTATGCAACACAAGTATGCAGTAGTTATATTATACGAGTATAATTTTAAGGAATTACATGTAAAATGCACCCACCTTGTCCCCTGTTGCAAAAACTCCATCAGATTTCCGTCTAACTACGATCTCTTTGTCAAACTGTATGGTTTCTGGTTTAGTGAGTTGGTAGAAGCCTTTCCCTGYAGCGAACTTGAGCTTATTTTTCTCGATAAAAGCCTCGATGGAAATCCTTTCATTCACTCGAATAGTCTTGAATCTTGAAGATTCGACTATTTTGGTGTCTTCTGGGGCTTTCTTGGCCCTTCTTGGAGGCATTTTTGTTGTGTGTGTGTAAGTCTTCAAAAAAAGCTTCCTTCGGAAACTCGAAAGCAATCGATGGATCAACATCGAAGTATATAAACAATAACAAAATATTCTCATGGGGGAGGTAGCGAAAAATAAATTTGTCTGCCCCCTTGGAAATCATAAATGAACTAAATATAACATAAGAAAGAAAACTAGTTAACACTTGAACTTTGCGTTATTTTTTCAACCTTTCTCCTTCTTTCCATTTTAAACGATTTATCAGGATTTGAAGTGTCTAAGAAATTTTATTTTAACCTCCGCTCCCTCAAGCTTTCAGTTTTCGTTTGGTAAGGGGCGTGCTAATAAGAGCCCAACTGAGTTTTTAAATGGCTCGTTACCTTRGTAACTGTGACAGGCGCAGCTTGTCGTATAATGATGAATAACGAAGGAAAGAAAATCTAGAGAATGTAAAAATATAGAAATGAAAAATGAACTAACGAAGACGGAAAAAAGAAAAAGCCAGTAAACAATTTTAAGTGTGAACAAAAAAACCTATCAAAAATGTAAAAACAATTTTAATTAACAATTTTAATTGTTTAAAAACTGGCTCGAAAAGAAAAAAATAAGAATAGCGAAAAGAATGATAAAAAGAGAAGCAAAGAAAACAATATTTAAAAAAAAAGTCTTTATTTACAAAGTACTTTGACAAGAACGTTTATAGTTACACAATATTACACTCCCTGCTTAAAAAACATTTTCCTGTTATGAGTTGTTAATAAATTGGCCACCARTTAATTTATTTWWAAAAGTATTAGCACAATTATGCGTTTTAAAATCTTAAAATATCGTATTTTATTAGTTCAGTTATAATTATTTGGATAAAATATGCCTGTGGATTCGATCTTTGAATGAGAATTTAAAAAACTATATACAGAATTAAGAATTATTCTCATTACTTTCTAGTTTTGAATTAGATAACTGGGACGGGTGGAAGCTTGCCTCCAGAAGGGGGTCTATTTGCTGAGAAGGATTCAAGATCTTTTATCTGGACCCTCAATTTTCGAATTTCACCCTTTTGAATATCAATGATCTTTTCTAGTTGGTTCATCTCTTCTGTCTTCTTGCTGTTCTCATTATTTGTGTCTTCACCACCAGCATTTGCAAGATGTTGCTGTTTGCGCATGACACCTAAGGCTGTCTCTAGGTCATGTACCATTGTTCTGGCTATTTTGAGTTCGCGGCGAAGATCATTGATTTCTTTGATGAGTGTAACATTTTCCTAAAAACAACAACAAAATATTTACTAAGAGATTTTTTTGACAGCGAACATAGCACCACTGACTCTAGGAACTAAAATATAAGTGGGGTGCAACCCTTCCCTTCCTACCTGCATGATGCGGACATTATCAGCTCTGTGTATTTCAGAGTCYTTAGCCAGTTTTTTTCTTAAAGACGCGACACTTCTCTCGAGATGTTCTCGCTGTCGTGCGTACTCATGTTGGATGTCTGAATCCACACCAGCTGCCTCAGGCTGTAAATACGAAAATAATTAAAAATATATTGTTAGGACCTTCATAAAAAAAATGTTCTCTATAGCGTTAAATATTACGTCACGACTAATTAGCAATTTTGAAGTTTCGCATTAAAAACTTGGGAAAGACAGCCAATAAAGGTGCGACGCGAGCCAATGACACAGCAGTGCCCTGACACAGTGACGTCACGGTCACGGAACTGTACCTCAGACATTTTACTTTGAATTCCTATCTACAGTGATTTGTTCACTTATTGATTATGTCGCTTATCGCATAATATAAGRAATATGACGTCCCATCAAACATGACGTCAGTGAACACAATGACGTCACTGATTTCATTTGCGCGCATAGAAAGAGAATGAGATAGCGTACCGTTTCATCTTGTACGTATTTGGTGTAAAGACTCTTGACACTTTCTTTGAGTTTCTTGGGTTCTTGGATAAACCCGACACAGTTATGAAGGTCTGTTTTGAACCTCTTCACCACTGCTTCTACATCGCGTACCTACCAAAAAATAAACAGAAAACGAGAGTAAACGAACTGATTGATTCAGGGCTTGAATTATCCCTCCTGCTTCCCGGTTGGCTCAGGGAGGTCGTGGGTTCAAGACCCGGCTGGACCAACAGTCAGGGGCTTCAAATATCCGCGAGTAAAAGGTGCTGCCTTTGCTCTAAAATATCTTCAAATGGTTAGACCTTCGCCGTGGCTCGGATGACCACGTAAAATGGCGGTCCAGTCTCACTAAGAGACGTCAAACATAGAGGGTCACAGGTTTATCAGTGCTAAGTTGCCACTTTCACAAGTCACCCTCTCTAAATAAAGTCAATTATTTGTTATCACTTATTTATAACCCTTTTGTCACAGGAAGACTGCCCACATACTTTACCTACACTATCATATCAGAAAAGAGAATATACCTTTTGTCGTTCTTGGTGCATTTCTTTATCCGTTGCTTTCAGTTTCAGCCTCAGTTCTGTTATATTCAATTCAAGGCTGGTATTCTGCTTATGGAATCGTTCCAACTCGCTTTCCATCTACGAATAGAAATCGTTATGAGGACGCAAAATCATGAAAATATTCTGTGATCTTTTGTGGGCCCTTGCGCAGCATTCTCGAGAGAAGTTCACTACAAAGCAGGTGAAAGGGACGGCTCGACCAAACGTCTCACGTTTTTAACCCGAGTGTTGGTATTTTTTGTACACCTTGCTTATCAAAAATAGCGTGCATTGCTTTAAACTAATACTCCTTTTTTACAGTTCCGTTCAATGACCAAGAATGATAGTTCCAAGCCGAGGTTGGAGTTGCCGCGAATAATAAAAAGTATAGTTTTGATATGCGAGGAAACTCCAACTTCGAATTGGAACTATTGTGCGTGGTCACTGAACGGAACTGTAAAAAGTATTCTGTAACTTCCACAAAGTGTATGATTTAACGGAATGAACGATGAGCCATTGACTAACCTCTTGAATCTGTTCCTTCATAGCTTTGATATCATTTTCTCTTGGTTCAATTTGTTTTTTMAGTTCTTTGATCTTGTAGTCCAGTACGAACTTGAACTTCTCGAGTTCCTGGTTCTTCTTCTTCAGATCGTAAATTCTCTTTTCCTATAACAAAATAAGGTTGACATAAGAAWTAGAGGCTAAAAATGGTTTTCGTAGGAGTGGAGGACTTTGACATTCTACGTATGAGAGGACGGAACGTAAGATGCGCGCATTGAAATGGCTTCTCATAGGGTGGTTTTCGTATGAGAGAAAATCTGCGTTACATGGTGCGMCATGGCGTAACACTGAAATGGCCTTCCRCACATTGATTTCCATACTTAGAGCACCAACACGGTACGGAACGCGGTAACACTGAAATGGCTTTTTAACACTGAAGTGGTTTTCGTATAAGATGGCGGAATCCTATGTTACTGACTAGCAGTACTAACATGGTGCGATAACCCGTAACATTGAAATGGCTTCCCATAAAACGCAATTATCGATAGTTCCACAAAGATAATTTTCACTGACTTTACCTTATCCTGAATAGTCTCATCTCTCTCTTGGATCTCTTTCTTTAGWCCATAGATGTCTTTCTCCAGTGATTTAATCACACCTTGTAGTTTGTTATTCTCGTTGTGTTGTCTCTGGATCTCAGCCTTGTAGTCATCTATTTCTTTTTGCAGGCTTGTAAACTGAAAACCAAACAAACACAAAAACGTATTACTAAATTAACTAGTACTCGAGATCTAGAATAAGCTCAACATGTTTACGCACGGCGGAACATCTCAGTTTTTATTTTMTGTACTTCTGCATATCTAAACACTTGTCTGGCTCAATGTGCTTGTCCTGCACCAATGCGAACGGGAACCGGAACTAAGGTGGAACCCACTTACCCTCCCAATTCCGTTCTCTAATTAATTAATGGGATTAACAGTGGATTCCACGAGAGTGGCTCTTCTTCCACTGGATTCCAATTGGAATTAAGAAGTTGATTTTTGCGGAGGGAGGAAAGCCGGACAATCCGGAAACAAACAACTCAACTCACATACAACACCGAGCTCGTCGGGACTCGAACCCGGCTCGCATTGTTGAGAGGCGAGCGCTCTCACATCTACGCCACCTATACTTCCCTACACATTCCCGCCCTGAGATYTATCCCTCCCATGATACTGTATTACTCTGACCTTTTTCCTCATGATCCCTGTCTCGCCCTTCAGTCTTAGATTAGCTTCTTTCTCCTCTCTTAGTCGTCTCTCGTATTTGTTCTTGATGTCAAGGATCTCGCGATCTGCGTCTTCCTCGATCTGCTTCTTGGTTTCTTCGTATTCACGCAGCTGTTGTCTCGCCTCTTCTTGAGACTATAYACAACAAAACAATCAATAATGTATCAATCGGCTTTACAAGGCAATAAGATTACTAGACATCAGTTRATACAGTAGGATAAAGAGTGCAACGAAATACTCCAGAGAAATCTTAATCAGTTATCAAATCATTATCGTCATCAGTTTATGGTCGATCTCCATCATGACATCATCACCATC